CCCCAAAACCCCAAAACCCCAAAACCCCTAACATGTAAACCTTGATTGAAACCTAACTTTACATATTAATAATATGAAGGGTAAAATACGCAACAATTTTGATAAAGGAATCCTCAGCTATATCATCTTTAAAGACGCAGAGGAGAATATTGACATTTATAACCTCCATTCAATGTATGATTTCAAACTCTTACCTCTCTTATTGTAGGTATTCAAATTAAGTTCTTCAGAATTGCACATAGGCCAGAAAATCCTATGAGACCATCAGTCTTTCTATTCTTTTGAACCACTAAGGGCTCAAAACTTTGACCGTAGAGCATTAGATGAAGAGGATTGGGAAATTCTGCATAAATCAGCACTAAATTCTAAAATTATTAGACTCTAAATAAACCTAATTTTTAGATAATTTTGGAAGTATTGTTCACCTAAAATGGCTATTAATAATAAGATGTAGCTCAAGTTTCCTTAATTTTAGGAATCTTATGCTACAGCATTAGGCTCTTTTAGTATAAATGATATCGTAAGTCTTCTTTTTAGTATTCACTCATTTCTCAGAATTCTTGAAGGAAAGGAAGACGAAAACTTATGAGATAGAAGTCCTACAGCTTTTAAAGACTTAATAATAGGCCTGCGGTAATGAGTCTTTGATAAGACTCACCTTCATTTTCTTGCTGTTCAACAGTAGCCTAGTCGATGAACTAGTGGTAGTAAGCCAAAGTGGCTCTCGCTAAGAAATACGCTTGAGGTTTTAGTCAAGTTATACTGACCAAACATCTAAAGGCATGAACTTGTAAATCAAATTTTATCTTATTTACTATAGGTTTAATTCAGATAGGACCTCTTAATGTATGTGAAAGAATTGAGTTAATCTAAAGACGATGAGAACTTAGTATATCGATCGTATAAGGATGCAAGAGAATAGAAGAGTTCTTATTTCCTCCTTGGTGTCAACACCTCTATTTACGCCTTTAAGTTTTATATGAACACTGATACTACTCTGAGGGAAATTATTCATAAATTTCTGAAAAGGTTCATCTTTCTAACAGATTAAGAATTATTTATAATTTTTATGCATAAAATTTTTAATCTTCCAATTCTATTCCTTCGTGTTAGAGAAAGAGTTTGGAAATATCTCTTCCTGATCTTTGAGACAGGTAACTACATTAAGCTTCATACACTGAGAGACCTGGAGGAGTTCTGTGTCTCACCTTCGAGAGTGGGAGCATCATAATTTTATTAGCCCAAAGCCATTAATTTCCTTTTGAATGTGCATAAAATAAAAATTGGAGATAAGAATCCGATTTCCTTCATTGTTTAGTCACAAGTAACCTTCTTGGAACGGCAAGCTAGTAGGATTTCAATGAGGAAAATACTTGAAGCAATTACGTTTATGAATGGTCTATCCTAGTCACTCTTTTGAAAAGAAACTTCCTTACTTTTCTGGCTTAATTTGGATGGTTGGTAAAAGTAAAAGACTTAATGAAAAAATTCCTTAGAGATGAAATGAGAAATAAGAACAATGAGTTTTAGAAAATTAATAGTTTATTGGAGTTCTTAGAGTTGCTGCAGTATTTTATACGTTCATATTCTTCAATTAATTATGGTATAGGTTTATTAATACTATTAAAAATAAGGAGTCAAATAAAATTTGATTGGAAATTAGCACCTCCTACAGTTCTCAAAATCAGCCCACACTTTTTCCCTAACATAACATTCTATTATCGAAGACACTTCTTTTTCCATAAAATTTCTCCAAACCAAAATTCAACTTAAAAATCGGCTTTAATACCTATCCAAAAGCCTGGGTGTTCAATTTTAACCGTACTGGCCTTATAACCTATTTAAAACCCTCTATCTTTCCTTTCAAATGCTTGGTTAAAAGTTTTATTTCTCCAAAAACTCAGCCAAATTTTCAAGCTCCATTTTAATGAAATTTCTAAACTAATATTTTATAAATATTTCTAAAATTTTATTTTCAAGTTTTCCTAAAATTTTATGAGAAATTAGAAACGTTAAATAGTAGCTTTCTTGCAGATAAACTAAGGCTCTCTTCAAGAAATAAGCAACTGTAGGATCTCACTCGAGGGTACCTCTTTCAAAGGCTTTGAGTTCCTCCTTGGGGAAATAGAGTTGTATGACTGCGGCTTCACTCTCTTTCCACGAGAATGAGGCTTAGAGGATGTCTTAAAAGCTGTAGATTTTCCAATAATAACTGGACCATCTTTGAAAAATTGCACCTTACAGGGAATTTCTCAAATATTCATAAAATCTTCTTTATTAGATTTCCCTTTGTTATCTTTGAGAGTATTTGAAAACTGATGAGTCACCTTAGGCATCTGAGGTGAGCAATCTTCACTATCATCATAAGATACCAGGTCATCACTCCATATATCTTTTGATAAAAGAGATGCCTTCTTTTGAATTTCTGGATTCATTAAAGTTAATTATTATGCAATCTTTTCAAACTTTCTTATCTACCAAGGGGTTTTGGGGTTTTGGGGTTTTGGGG